CTATGCAATTTTCTAATTACCAAGGAGACAACAGTATTCATAAAAAACAGTATACAGGTACACACCTGAAAGCCACTCGGGGTTACGCTCCTTAAAAATTAAATTTGGCTCACACTCACCATCTGCACCAGACTGCGTGCTGTTACACACTTGCTGCTATTCGGGGCATTATCTGTTTTATCCTTCGTAACGCTCCAAGCGGATTCTGTGGCCAGTCTCCTCTCCTTGCCAAGACGGGCCTCTCTTATCATTTCCACCAAGCCCTGCCAGCCCCATCACAGTCAGTTGAATTCCGACCGCTTCAGGGCTGTTTTTGTGCTGCAGTTGGTCTGCACAGCACTAAAGTGGACCAACCAGCCAGGAGTGGACACTCCACAATGGTGCCATTGTTAGTATCACCAGGTCACAGCTTGCAGACAGGGCCAGTGAGTGGGTACTCAGACATACTACCGTCAGACAAGAGCTCTCACCAGCCTACTCTGGTTGCTGAGAACAGGGGGGAGGCCAGAGTAAACAAAATGAGCCTGCAGCCTCAAAAATTCATCTATTACATAGGGAAGTGGAAATTGAGTTTCTGGATTCCACCCGTTGGATAAAGTGCCAGTGGAAATACCCATCCCATGGGCTGTATAAACAACAGAACAGCAGTGGCCAAGTCTATTATTTGGTGTTATTTCTCTCCAGCGTAGCGCGCCACTTCTTGATCCTCTACTATCAAAATACAGACATTTGCCCTTCAGGGATGTGCTGACTTTTTTCACTGATATGAAGTGTGTTGGCATCAAGTTCCACCAATCCATCTAAGGCACCACTCACTTTATTTATTTTTTTCTTTCCAGGGTCTGGAAAGCCGTCTCCGTATTACTACTCATCACCCACAACAGAGGAGCCCCGAAGAACACAGGTGAATGCAGTAATTCTGCACAAATGTCTGGTTACACTCCACAGCCTCCCCTTCTCATTTTGTCTTGTATGCCTGCTCTGATGTGGCTGTACAGAGGTAGAGGTTGTTTTGCTGTGTATATGCAGAGATTGTTTATTTCTCTGTTTGCCTGTTAGCTTTGTTTATTTGTGCAGACTATTTCTACTGTTATTTTTGTAGTGTTTGGGTTTTTTTTTCAGTGTGATAGAGTAGTTTACAGTACATGATATTGCAATGTACGCAACAAATGATTAATTAATCAAACTAAAATATAAAAAAAATATGATACTAGCCTTAATAGTGTTTGGTGATATAAGCTGGCACAAGGCACATGTCTGAGATCCCTGCGCTGCACTGTATAAGCACGACCAACCCTTCTAACCCGCTTGACTAATACAAAGAGACTGACACGTATTCCACCCCGGATGAATGACAATGCTGCGAATGACCCAGCACATCAGCTATTGTTTGAGTGAGATTGAATGTGACTGCTGGGATTGGGATGGTCTGGGTACGTCTCAGGCACTTGTCTCTGTTGGACACATCCATGTGTGCCTGTTCAGATAACAGGCACGGAGAGGAGGAGGCAGGAGGGAGGAGATGCTGCACAAAGACAGAGTTCTCTTATGTCCTTCATTGCTTCACATTTCTGGCTAAAGACGGTCATTATTCATTTCAGACATTTATAAATCCCATCCATTTTGTTGGATTTCTAACATTTACCTTGAAGCTGTTTTTGTTGCATTAGTGGCCAGAGACGTGCAGGCGAGAAGATAATTGATTAGCCTATTGTCTGAAAAATCTCCAGCCACACTAACGAGCGTTTGTCCTGAATCTGCTGAGATGTTTGTTTATGCCGTTTCATTTTGTTACCACCATACAGAAGATTGATTTGAGATATTTTTTGTGTTTTGACAGGATGAACAAGCGTTATGTACTTAAAGGCATAGTTAACTTTTTTAAATCTTATTTTCTCTCTTGCTGAGGCTTATAGAAGAAAGTCTGCCCCTGAGTTGTTGTTTTGACAGTCACTGTCCGCTTGATTAGGTGCACCTGTACAACTCCTTGTTAACACAAACGGCTAATCAGCCAATCACATGGCAACAACTCAGTGCATTTAGGCTTGGGGGCGAGGTCAAGATGAATCCGAATGGGGAAGGAAGGCGACGCAGCTAAGAACAGGAAACAGAGGCTGTAATTTGCACACGCTCACAAAAATTGGACAGCTGCTGGTGGTGTAATGGTGTTGGGGCATATTTTCTTTGTACCCTTTAGATCCCTTAGTACCAAAGGTCAGTGAGTGTATAAACAAATGGGGAGAGAGCCTTTACTTTATTTTCAACACTCAAATATACATATACATTTTTTTTTTTGCCTCAAATAAAAGTGAAGAATCTTTAACAACATAGTTTACATAGACATTACAGTAAGTCAAGGAAAAGGATAAGTACACGTACCTACATATGTCTTGCACTGACATTGTTGCGATCCTCTACTGTGGACATGAATCAGTGTAACGCCACATTTGTTTTGCAGTTCTGTCTCTGGGCAGCATCTTCTGAGCCACTGTGCTCAACATTTTGTTTAAATTGTCAGTTTACTCTTTAAAGCTGAGAAGCTAATGTTTACAGGTGCTTGTAGGTGGATTTCTAATCATCTAGGTGGAGATTTGCAATTAAAATTTTCCCAAAATGTTACCGTGTAGTGTGGTTATATTTATAGTGAGGTGTAAGTGTTCCTGAAAGTATAAGCAGCAGTACAATATGAAGATAAATAAAGTTTGTTTACTTAAATTAAGCTACACGAGAACTATCATTAAAACTTATTATGAAATCTGAATAATGCTTTGAAATAAGTGCTGCACGGCCAAGGCTGCAAACATCAGTGAAAACTGCCTAATTAAGTAAAGGTTAAAGGATTTTTGAAAACTTGTGGCGCAGAGAAATGACCTCCTGTAAATGTTGCATGTGAAATGATTGGACATTTTAATAATAATTATGCATTACATTTCACAAAGTGTTGGGATGTAATTGGCTAAAGTGGAGCTAATTTAATTTACTTTAAATGCTGGCAGGGGAATGGGGACAGCAAAGGCTAAATTTGCTACCTTTATTTTCTTTTGAGTGTAAGTTTGAATCTTTAACGTAACGACTGTTGTAAAACTTAAGTTTTCAGAACTGACTCTTGATACTTGCCTCTCGTTCCTTGCAGCCTCTGTATTATTCAGATGAGCTGAGCAGGAGAAACTACGATACATACAGAATGTACCTGCAGCACCCACACGGCTACGACGACTCGTATTTGGAGGAGGTCATCACGTACCCTCCCACCTTCAGCTCCCAGCCTCATGGACTGAAATCCACCTGTAACTACGTGGACTATTACGCTACCACACGGACGCCTTCGTTCAGGGCAGAGCAGTACCCCGGCTCTCCAGACTCCTGGGTATAGGTCTGGAGGTGCTACCGTTTCACCATCACTTCGGTTTGTGACTGGGGTGCGTCTTCACCCTGCAGCAGAGGCGAGGAACACACAGGAAATGACAAACTTTTTTTTTTTCACGAACTTGGCTTCATACATGTTTGTTTTGTGGATGTGTGTGTATGGAGGAGAGTTCAACTGAGTGATAACAGATGGAAAGATGGGATGTGAGCCAAAGAAGGAAATTAAGGAATGTCTTTTTTTTTTTCTAATTATTTTTTATTTAGATGAGAAAGATGGAATCATGCTGTGAGTCTGTTGAGAGCAGATATTGGGACACTACAGTGAGGAGACATGCGTCCTACTATGTCTAGATGTTAGGTTAATTTTTCTTTTTGAAACTCTTAGCTGTGATAGCATGGTGAAAGGTGTGAGTCATGTAAACGAAGGTCCGCGGTAAGAGTCGAGACTGGAGGAATATGTATGTGCTGAAGCCAAAATGGATCATGAACTCATATCTGTTTAAAAAATGAATTAAAAAAAAATATAAAATAAAAAAAATAATCAAATGAAAAATAGTTAACTAATGATGTTAGCTTGTACAGAGGGATCAAATTATATCTGTACTTAATGTTGAAACTGTGTAATGCCATGGAGTCTTGTACATTTTTTGTTTTATTGTAAATACAGAAAAAAAACATGTTACCTGGTTTACACTCAACAGCACTGGTTGGAAAAAAAACAAAAAGAAACTTGTGCCATGTTAGGTCTCTAAAGATATATAAATATACAAAGAAATATGTGGACAAAGATGGCATCATAACACAACAACGACAACGTAATAAAAGGTCAAGTTTTGTTTTTTAAACTGTGTGAGAGTTTCTTTGCATCTCCAGTTTACTGACATTTTGTCCACGTGTGCAAAGAGAGTGAATGAATAGATCCAAAGGAGATCAAACCCTTTCTGCTCTGGTTGTAATATCCTCTATCCTGCCTGGGAAGCATATTTTATGTATTTACACAGACATGAGTAGTGAGCCTTAAACCACCTGTGTTTTATAAAAGCCGTGTGGCACCCTGGAGCACAGCAACCAACGCTGATCGGTAGCGGACTCTGTGCTTACACCTCGACTGACAAACCGTGCTCTTGGGATGGAGAAAAAAAACCTTGTTTTAAAATGTTTTTCAAATATCGATGCTGAATACGAGCGACGTGTGGTGCAAATGTATTTAAGATGAAAGATTCCAGGATGATTTTCTGTCACGCTACAAACTCTGCAAAATGGTGACGAGGGTCAGGGATGATTTGTGACAGAAGGATAGCAGCAGTTATTCACTGTGTCAGGAAATTAAAATATGCTACTGTGGGCCATGTATCAGTGTAAAATATAAGTAAAAACCTGACGATATTAGAGACATGTACTTCCTTCCCATCCAATATACATACACTATTTTTAAAAAAATGGACTGGGATAAACTAATCGTCTCTTGTTAACTTGATGTAAATAAAAAATTTCCAAGGCACTGAGCCTCAATATGAGATCAGCAAAAATTGTTTTTGAACTGTGACTCAATAATAGGTCAATAATTTAAAAAAATATGGAGCTGGAATACTGACAAGGTTCAATTGCCTGTGGATCGGGGCCAGTACTACTTAAAAGATGAAATACAGTTGCTCTTTAGGCCTAAAATGATTTGAATAAACACACTGCTGAAAGTTTGGTAAACTTAAAGTTTTTAAGTTTTTTAAAAGAACAACAACACAGCGTGTTATAATCACCAGACTGAACAGCTTTATATACTTGCAGACAAACTAAGATGTTCAAGTTCATCTATATTCATCTTTTTTTTTTAAAAAATTTTTATTTGCATACAAAAGCAATTTAAAATCCTTTAGATCTCATAATTAATGTTGTTTCATGCCCAGAAGGTATTTGATGGGTTGGAGTGGGGTTATCTCTCTTTTTCAGATCATCAAAGAATTTGATTTTTACTCATATTCCTCTTCCTCACCAGCCTCCACTTTCAGAAACCAGCTACACTTCCACATGAGACGGGCCTTTTTCTTGCTTAAGTAGTTGCAACTCTATGGACTGTGCTGCTTATAGTAAAGCTGGCATTAAGGGAATACATACGTTTATACCAACCATTAATTGGCTTCGGCCTACAAAAGACACTGAGCAGTGAGATTATCCCAGCCCCTAATTTCATTTAATTCATTACCCTTCAAAGTAAGTGCACGCAAATTAAAGTACCTAATAATCTGGGTCACATATGACTTCATACACCCAATTTTCCCCTCACTGCAGTTTCTTCTGAAACAAAATTCAGAATGTTAGAGCTTACTGAATTTATCAGGAGGAAGAATAAATACAGGTGAAGTCAATGTGTAATCTGCTTTTAAATGCATGTAAGAGCACAGCTACGAGCCAGGACTGTCTCCCATAACTTTAAGGACTTTTTAAAAAAAAAAAAGCTGCTAATGTTATATGAGCATTGTTGACAGGGATTTCATGGCACAGCCCCTAGAGATGGAGAACTAATCCGATATGCTTAAACTCCCCACCCGATCTCAGCCTATATCCAGGTCCAAATATCATTGTGAAGCATTATTTAAAAATCTGGATACAGTTCATATGAACACTTTTCACTCAGTCTTGATCTATATTGATCTATATCTAATTAAGAAGTCAGCTGTTTATAACAATAAATGCAGATCCAGAGTCTGATGTGCTGCAAAAAAAACCCCCAACAACCTCATACTTTTATATCGATTGATGGAGTAATGCTAAAGCACTAATTTCCCTAAACTCTCTTTTGAATTCCACTCGGAAACTTAATCTCGGGTCTCTCGGGATACTTTATTCCTTTTTGAAACTCATTTTGGATCTTCTGACTGGGAGGAAGACTTGAAGAACCAGCTTAAGTTTAGAGAACTACTTATAATAGTACACACTGCTTAGGAGGCTAAATAGGTTTAGGACTACATGTTGAACCCATAAGTGACAAGTCACACCATCAGCCAACAAACGAGGCAAATCTTTATATTAGTCTAAAACAATATTTAAGTTTCATACACTGCAGAAATATCCACAAAACTATTAAGTGCAGTAATGACCTCCCCCAAGATAGCGCTTACATGCTAGCTGCCAGCTAGCTAAATATGAGAGTTTAGCTAAATGACTTCCTAAACAAAAGGAAAATTTACCTCCAGTCTTTTTAATACACTTATACATTATTTAAAGAAAGTTTGCTTTATGCAAGAAAGTGTGCTAAGAAATGTGATGCTATATGACAATTATTTTTTAAGAATGAATGCATTGATACTGCAATTTTGCACTACATAGTACATGCATTTTATTCTTGGTATGTTGTATACTTAACTATTGGAACTGATTTAGTTGTTTTTGTACTTCTCGATATGATCTACTTTATTGTTTTCCTTGTTTCATCTACGGTGAAGGTTCTGATAACTAAAAGGTACAGTAATACTATAACTGCGATGGGGTTCAGCTGGGATGAGGAAGAATTATGTTTTTCCAGTTGTGCCTGTGAGGTTT